ATGAGCTTCGAGTGAAACGTTTTCCACACTCTAAGCATTTATAAGGATTCTTTCCTGTGTGAATTTTCGCATGTTTTCTAAACAATTGTTTATTACGGAAAGATTTCCCACACTCCAGACATTGATAAGGTTTCTCTCTGGTGTGGATTTGCTGATGTTTAAGCAGCTGTGAGGCTTGAGGAAAGCAGAGCCCACATTGCTCACACTTGCAGGGCTTCTCTTCAGTCGGGCTGTTGGGAGGCCTAGAAAGACGCCGTCTCCCAGGAAATCTTCCCCAGCGCCTCCAGGATTCCTGAGACCTTCTTCCCTGGTGGATTCGCTGATGGGCTCCAAGGTCCGAGCCTTTAGCAAAACGCTCCCCGCACCCTCCGCATTTGTAAGGCTTCACTCCAGGGTGGCTCCGGAGATGTTTGGCAAAGCTCCAGACTCCAGGAAAGGAGCTCCCACAAAGAAAACACAGGTGGGATCCACTCCCTGTGTGCAGCTTCTGGTGGATCAAAAGGAGGGACCGGTGAGCAAAGGATTTCCCGCACTCGGAGCACTTAGAGAGTCTCCCCTGATTCCTCTGAAGGGACCTTTGGCCAAAGGCTTCCACCCTCTGCATTGTTTCCCGGGGCTGCTCACTTCTAGGGTTTTCTATCTGAGGATAGTCTAACAAGCAGAACTTTGGCCAAAAAGTTGGAGGATGTGTAGGAGGATGGGCTCCAGCACGAGTCCATATGCTTGGAAGACTAAACCTCCGGTCCCGGTGACTGAGCCGGATTGGATCCTGCAATCAGAACTTTGTCCAAAGGTTTTCCTGGTGACACCTGTAGGATGAAGAAAAAAGAAGTGAATAGCCAAGTAGCCCAAACAATAGCAGGAAGAGCCAGCTATATGAACCCTGGAGGACACCCCCCCCCTCCAAAGCCTCTATTCCCTCCCTGCAGAATCAAAGCCATGCTGGGATCCCCCGTTTGGAGCTGACCTCCCCTTCCCTCTTCTTAGCAGAAAGAGTGGGATGGCAGAGAGTCCCTGCCTGCCTGAACTGGGGATGATCCCTGCCTTTTCCTTTTTGCCCAGTAGTGGGCAAGGTGATTCTACATGACATGAGACATTCTACAAGGACTCCCTTCCCATAGGATTTATATGTTTCAGCTAGATCTAACTGTGTACAGAGTACAACCAATGTTGCTATTCATGAACACAGTTCTTTGGGCCACCAGAGACTATAATATGGGCTATTCCAAGAATGGCTTCCTATTGTTGCTTTCTAGCTGAGGAAGGATGTAAAAACATCCATCGGGGTCACCAATGGCTCATGTTGAGGGTCAAGTGAGACACCCCCCCCCGTTTCCTGAAAGGGAGGCTGATGGCATATTTTCCCAACATTTCCACAAGATCGTCCTAGCTGACCAGGTCAGATTTTGGAATCTCTCTTCAAACATTTTCTTTTGGCTTCAATTGTTGCATCCAGCCAAATGCTGGAGTCACTTTATTAATGGGAGAAGCACCAGAAACCATGGTTAAAATAATAATAGTTTAGCTGAGGGTTGTATAATGTCTGGGCTGAGGTTGTATAATGTCTGGGCCCCACTTTGGAGAAGTGTCCTTGGAGCAAAATCGAATTTTACCACACAGCCTTTTATGGGTTGGCAATATTATAGTATTGACATGGTTTTTTTCTTCACTGTCATACCCAACCCTTTTCAGTTCCATTGAGATCTCTGAGGCTGTCCTGGTCAAGGCCACTGACCATCCTGAATCTCCTCCTCTTCCTGTCCCCCCTCAGCTCCCTCTTTCTCCTTCTGTCATTTACAACTCTGTTCATTCTTCCTTTCTTTTCCCTCCATTTCTCTCCTAGTAGGCTTACTCTACCACTTGCCAGTAATTTGTAAAGAGCTTCTTAAAATCTAAAGAAGAAATTCAATACACCCACGCTGAACACAATAGGGAACAAACAGCTTTTATTTAAAAACTTGACTATATATATCAGGGGTGTTAAACTGGGGACTTGCAAGCTGGATACATGACACACAGGTTACATCACCCCCAGCTTCGCGAAAGGGAAAAACACTGTGAAACGTCATGTGACAGCAAAGTGACGTGGCGAGTTTTACACCTTTGCTTTATATGAACCTAAAGAGAATGACCAAAGGAAGCCTATCACTTTTTGAAGAAAACAACAACCAAGAACAAAGCCCCTTCTATGTATCCTACTCCACTCCAATGAAGCCCCTCTGGAACTGAACAATTGCTTTCATGTTGATTGTTCCCCTCTGGAAAGAAATATGCAGTCACCCACAAGAGGGCAGTCTTCGATAGTTTCAAGGCAAAACCCAGCATTTCTGGGATGGGAAGAAATCCCAGAGTTCTCTAGCAAAAAAAAGGTGAGTATCGGTAATAGGCGACTCAATTAGGAGAACAGAAACTATAGTCTGCAGAGCAGATAGTCAATCTAGGCAGGTATGTTATCTCCCTGAAGCAAAAAATAAAAGATGCAACAGAAATAATCAAACCCATGAAGTACTATCCCATTCTTCTCCTGCACGTGGAGACCAATGACTCAACAATGAATCTGAAAAGAGCAGAAGTGGTTCCCATTTTCAAGAAAGGATAAAAAAAAGAGATCTGGGAAACTACAAACCAATCAGCCTAACATCAATGCCTGGGAAGATACTGGAACAGATAATAAAAACACAGATCTGCAAACATCTAGAAACAATGTTATAACTAAAAGCCAGCACAGGTTTGTTAAAAACAGATCACGCCAAACCAATCTTATTTAGTTCTTTGACAAGCACGGTTAGTCTAGAGCAGGGATGTCAAAGTCAAGGCCCACGGGGTGCTTAAATCTCGCCCACAGAGCTGGCCTGAAAATAGCAAATGGTCTGTGGTGCTTCCGCTAGGAAACATGCACCTCGTTTTAAGCCTGGTCTTCCTCCTGCAGCACTCTGCCAGCCAAATAGGGGCGTTGGCGGGGGGGGTGTCTCCAGAGGGCTCCGCCAGCCTGTTACAAGCCAAAATGGAGCCTCCATGGGCTGGGTCTGGTCCTCCAAGACTGTTTGGTCCTCTCCACAGACTGTGCTTGCTTTCCTAGCATCCAGAATTCCACTTACTCCTCCCCACCCCATTTCCCATGATTTTACTGTACTTACCTTTTGAAGAGCTCCAGAAGACGCTGACCCATGTGGCAGAGAAGCCAAAGTCTTTTATTCGGAAGCCAGGGAAGCTGTAAGAACGTGAGATGTAAGGAAAACAGTTTTCCCCATCTGAATAAAAGACTGGCTTCTCTGCCATGACCTGCAATTTTAGTTTGGGCCGAGTCTGGCTGGGAACTAGCAGCCTCCTATTTCCTGCTGACTGGCAATGAGGTACCTCAGTGGATTGGGGGAGGCCTTGGATGGCCTGCTCCAGCACTAGACCCCCATGCTCTTCCCCAGCCTGAGATACCTCATTTGCATTTAATGGCCTGCGCATTCGATTAACAAATGCATTGGGGAAAGCAGGGACTGATCATGTTCATTTACAATGATTCAATCAAATTAATCCTCGGATTACAAATGTAATTGGCAGGCTCTATTATATTAGTAACCCGAGAATTAACTGTGTAATGAGAGTGAGGGAGGGTCTCGGGGAAGTCCTGCCTTAGCACTTGGCCACCACAGGTGCCCCACCCCCCACGAGTCCTGTGACTATGGCCACCCTCCACCCCAACCCCTGGCCCTCCGAGGTCAAACAAAACTCTCAATGAAATTGAGTTTGACACCCCTGGCCCAGACAAAAGAAGGATTAGGGGTGACAGAATAGCAGTATTCCAGTATTTGAGGGGCTGCCCCAAAGAAGAGGAAGTCAACCTATTTTCCGAACCTCCAGAAGACAGGACAAGAAATAATGAATGGAAAAAAAATCAAGGAGAGAAACAACTTGGAATTAAGGAGGAACTTCCTAACGGGAACAATTAATAAGTGTAGCAACTGGTCTACAGAACTTGTGGGTGCTCCAAGTCTGGAGTTTTTTTCAAGAAAAAAAAAAAAGAATGGACAAACCCGACTGAAATGGTATAGGATCTAGAAGACCTCCAAGGTCCTTACCAGCTCTATTCTGATTTATAAAAACCACCAACAAGGGGCTGCCATATCACAGCCTCTTCAAAGCAAAAGGAATGGGGTGAGGGGGTGAGCGTTTTAGAGCTTCTACCCAACTTTGCCAAACAAAAGCAATTACAATATTAAAATATAAATATATATAAAATCTTCATTTCTTGTTCTATTTAGATCAAACAGAAATATCTTTTCTGCGTTGGCAGAACATGAGCTCAGTTCAAGCAAATTGGCCCTTTTTCTCCACCTAATTAAGGAGACAACACCCGTATTTCTTTCTATTACTCCAAATCCCCCTTAAACCCTTCAAGGAAAAGCCCCCTTTGCCCTCCGTGGGGCGAGGCTTCCCCCCGCTTTGCCCAGAGGCTCCCCGTCCTGCCCCGCATCCACCCGGGACCCTCCTGGCACCGAGGGGGGACTCGGGGCTA